ATCTACCTCAAATCTGTAAAACATTACAGAAAGAAATTAAAGAAGACTTAAGTAAAGGGAGTATTAAATCGTGAGTAGGAATTAAAAACTCAATAAACAAGTCAATTTTCTCCAACATGGTATATCAATTTATTGCAATGTCAAGTAAAATCCCAGCAGGTTTCTTGTGAAAATTGCAAAGATGATTCTGAAATTTAAATGGAAAAACACTCAAGAACAATCAACAAAGCAGGGAAATGTGCTCTACTAGATGTCAAGTTTCAATATAAAGTGACAACAATTAAGACAATGTAAATTGGTAGAAGAATATATAAATATATCAGTGAAATAGAATAGAAAGCCTAAAAACTGGCCATGCACGCATGGAGACTTGATTTCTGACGCTGGTGGTTCTGTAGAGCAGTGGAGAAAGGATAGTTGCCCCTTGGTGCTGGCATACAAGACATACTTTTGAGAAAAAGTAGAACTTGATCCATCATCACACTGTACAAAACAATAATTCTGGGTGGATCATACATCCCTGTGTAAATGAACCGCTAAAATGAAAGCTTTCTAGGAAAAAACAGGAAAATGCATGATCTTTAAAAAGATAAAAGTACAAAATTTTAAAAATTAATAAACTATATCACCTTAAAATTAGGGACTTCTACTTCTCAAAAGACACCATGAATAGAATGACAGACAAGTCAAGTTGCAGAATGGAAGATGTAACACACATAATTGGTAAAGGGCTCTCACTCTCCCTCTCTCCTATCATTTATGTACACACCTATATCACGTATCTCTCCAGCAAATCAATACAACAACTGAAGAGAAAAATGTGCAAGACTTGAAAAAACACAACACAAAAATATAATATCCAAGTGAATAAAAAACAAGGGAAAAGGTGCTCAATCTCAGTAGTAATAAAAGAAATGCAAATAGTTTGAACTACAATTAGACACCTCTATATATGCACCAAAATAAATAATAAAAAGACAGAACCATCAAATTTTGGCAAAGTATGTGGAACTATAGGAAATCATGTACTGCTAGTGGGAATGTAAATTGATATATAAAATAACCCCTTTGGAACACTGTTTCACATTATTTATTAATATTATAATTGAACATATTTACACCATATGATGCAGGTATATAGTCAACAGAAAGTAATATATACATATCACTAAAGAAAGGCACAAGAAAATCAATGGCAGCATTATTTGAAATAGTAAAAAATAGGAAACAACCCAAATGTCTGTCAATCATCCCTATTCATACAAATAAATACTATATAGTAATGAAAGGTAAAAGCTGCACATAGTAGCTTGGATGAAATTCATCTACGTAATGTTGATTATGGATTTGAACTTAAAATACTTATTTCCTTGCAACTTGTTGGTTGCAAGTTATTAAAAAATTGTATGTAAAATAATAAGGAAACAATGTGAACTTTAGGTCTCAGAAAATAGAAATTTGAAACTATCTTGGCTTATCATAATAAAGTGCTATAGCAAATAAAAAGCACTTTTGAATGTGTTATTTTTATTACATTTTATGCTTAGCATAATGGGTGCAGTGAAGTGTTATCAGGATTTAATTTATTTTTTATGGTTAAGCCATTTCCTTTGCAACTAAAAAAATGTTGAGAATGTGGTGACAGCCTCATGTTCAATTCATGAACCCGGGAATGAGGCACTAATGAAATCAAGAATCATAATCCATACACATGCTGACCACCTGAGTATGAAAAATAACCAAGACATCTTTTAAAAATCTTATTGTAAATTTAAAAATTATAATTGTATATATTTATGAGGTATAGTATAAAATTATAACACATGTATATAATGTCAAATGATTAAATGAAGCTAATTAACATGTCCATATCATAAAATACTTATAATTTTTTGTGAGGAGGACATTTTACATTTACTCTCTTAGTAATTTTGAAATGTACAATACATTACTATTAACTACAGACACCAAGAAATTATTTTTCATGTCCTTTGGCAGTGAACTCCTTGAAACAAAAGTGAAATGGTTTTATTCAACCACTAGAGGGCACTGCAGTTTGTGTATACTGGGGACTTCAAGACTAACGGGTGTTCTTGAAGCAAACTCATTTTTTGTATTTGTAAATGGTCACTAAAAGCACAATTGCAACGTTTAGGGGATGGTCACGCTTGAAGCTCTGACTCAAGCAGGGACGGGGGACATGGGCAATATACGTAACCTTAACATTTGTACCCCCATGATATGCTGAAATTAAAAAAAGTACAGTTGTACTTTAAATAATAAAATTATTCCCTTTAGAAATTATATATTTGTGTCTATTTAAATAAATTAGTTTTTCTTAAAAATGAAATAACCATTATAGAAAATTTTGAAATTATAGACAAGCATAGCAAAGAAAATAAATTTTCCTTATATTTCTATTACTCAGGGTAAAACCCTGTGTTTATTTTAGGAGTTGTTCTCTCTGTCAGCATATAAGAATATAAGACATATTTCATATGTTCAACATTAAATAGGATGTAATCTTATTGTATATATTGTTTTTAACTGGCAGCAATCATTTTTTGAGTATTCTTTCATATGCATAAATGTTTCTCATAGTTTTTTTGTTGTTAGCATAGCATTTCATCATGCAGGAGAATCATATTTAATATTTTGACTAAATCTTTGATTTTGGACAATTAAATTGCTGCTAATTTTGCACTACTAAAAATATCCCTTACATAAACATTTTTGTGGTTGTATCTCACATATCGAAGACTATTCCTTTAAAATCTTCCCTCCCTTTTTGAAAGTTGCTGCCTCAGACAAAAGATATGAATCATTTTAAGGTTTTGATGAGTATTGCCAAACTGCCTTCCAAAGGTTAAACTAGACCAGTCTACACTATCACCAGCAATCTTTCTGGTCATACATTTATCAACATCTTCCACAGGTATTCATTTACATTTTAATTTCAGTTTTAATTTCATAATATGTTTTCATCTGTGGAAATCTAATCAAAATTACGAGAATTGAGAACATGCTTAAAAGGTCATTTCTACATATTAGTATTACATATTTTTTGAATCATTGAATACTGACTAGAGTATCTAACATTTCAATGGCATTTTATCATTTTTAAAATAATTTTATCAAATCCCTATAATTACAAAATTGAAATTATATTGGAAAACAATAAAACACACTTAACTGATAGTCATTTTCATTAATATTAATGTAATTATCCAAAGTGAATAGAGCCAATAGATTTGACATTTTGAAAGGTAGCTAAAAGTTTGAATGCAGGAACAAACAGCATAGTATATCTGAAATATGCTTCCATAGTAAGCCACATCACACCCTCATAACCTTTATCACGACACATTATAATTATAATTATTTGCCTTATTATTTGTTTTACAAATAGACCGTAAATTCCGTAAGGCCAGTTGCCATGCCAAATTTGCTCAGTATTTTAAGTCTAGTGTCCACCACAGTAGTAGGTGCTTAATAATCATTTGTTAGATTAATTTTTAAAAAGTCTTTCTAAAACTAAACATAAAGAAGTTGTGTAGAAATAGACATGTTATATAGAAATGCTGCCTATGCCAATACTGGAAATTTGATGACATATTGTTCCCATTTATAATAATCATTGTCAATGTTTAATACATCCCTGGGGTTTACTATGATCCAGGTACTGTTTTAAGTTTGCTTTCATATACTAACTAATTTAATTTCTAACTAATTCTAACCAAATTTTGAACTAATTCTAATAAAATAGCGAGTCAGCCAGTGAGTGGCAGAGATGAAACTGAGGCCATCTGGCTCTCACGCTCTGACTCTTAACAACTCCAGTTTCCACAGATACATTTCGTAATACACAAATCACAAGACGTGGTTTTCTAATATGACTTGGGAGTAGATTGTTGTTATCAATGATAGAAGATTACAGGTAGGGGGCCATTTGTTTCATTTTATAGCTGTGAGAACTGAGGATTACAGAGGTTAAGAAATGCATGTATTATTTTTCACTAAGCAGTATCTAAAATCCAACTTTCTTCCCTATATGCCATGCTGCTGAGAACAGTTTAAAGATACTACACATATAACACATTTCCAACTTCCAGAGAAAGAGAATATTGCAAAACACATTTATGAAACAATTTTAAAGGTAATCAAGTTTTTTCCTGATTGAAATATCCCATGAAGATCATGCAGTGTCTCATTTCTAGTGAATTATTTTATGTAAATAACTAAAATATATATAGCACTTCAGAATTGAACAAGTGTCCCGACCCGCGGGACCTTCTGTTACTCGCGGGGGCGAGGGGGACCGTGCCTGAAAGAGATGAGCGAGAGAAAGAAACGAGACCAAGCGAATGATTGTCAAGGTCTACTTTACTTGGATTTTTAGTAGGTTTTATATACAGAAAACAAGGAAGTAGAAACAGAAAAATAGAATGGGGGAATAATGAGGCTTTCCTGTGGGCTGATCAGCCCCAATCAGCATCCCAATGGCACCGGAAGCTCTTTGTGATGGATCACTCAACCCCAACCTGGCAGGGGGTTGGGAACAATTGCAGGTGGCATGCCCTGGAGCAAGCATGGCATGGAATGCATTCTTCTTGGAACTACAGCTGGGGGGCTGGGTGCTATTTTCATCTTAGGCTATTTTTCATGCGTAGGACAAGTCAGGACAAGTCGTTGGAATGTGGAGGGTCTTAGTCTCCAACAAACAAGATACTTTCAAAGCATTGTTTATGAGTACTAATTATTAATGAGCATCTGCTATATGCTGAAAAATGGATATGGTCCTTTAGAATACACACATATGAAAACAATTTGAAATGTATAAACCATGTTGTAAAACTAAAGTTTTACCATAACTAGGATTTGTTTGTTTGTTTTAAAGAATATTCTGTTTTCTGCCTTCTAATATGGCATATAATTTTTAATGTATCTTAAGGAATAGACACTTCTTGGAAACCATTGTATTGATTCTACTTTTATTTTCACAAACATAAAAGCAGCTTATAATTGTACAAAATACAAAATACAAACAGACACACTTATTGCACATAAAAAACACTTAAAATGAAGTATTGCACATGTTAGAATTGATTATGAAAGTCACAAACTTATTATCAGTTATGACTAGTATTATTCTAGGTTTGAATAATACAGAATATTTCCTGATAGAGATTTGCCACATCACATATTGCACATTTTCCAACACTTTTTGTCTGCTTTACAAATATCTTCATATTCTTTGCTTTTGCTTTTTCTCTAAAACACTGTATAGAAGGTTTCAAAGGCAAAGAAATACATACTATTGAAAAAGAACCAGTCTACAATTGAGGATGTGAAAAAATACATAATTATCCCACTCTTTGGGAGAAGAAAATAACAAGTAACTTGGCACATTTCTCCAAAAAGTGAGAAATATTACAAAGCTTAGTTTCATAAGCATTTGTCTACTTATAAATGCTTCCTGAGTTGAACACGTCAGAATTCACAATTTCCTTTGTTTACATGCAGTTTTTAGTACCACTGTTTAACTCCTTCAAATAGTGCAAATGCATGAAGGATGCTTATTTTTGGTAGTCATTCAACAATAAATAATAACTCTAAACCTAGTTATTTTACTATTTCTGAATTTAAAAAAAGAATATATATAAAGTGCATCTGAAAGGTTTTATAGTCATTCTTCTTATTCTTGGCCATCATTATCAGTCAATCTGTGATGTTTTCAGCTCATGATAGAAAAAAGTCCACAATGCAAATTGTCCTGGAATTTCTTTCCTTTTTTACAAAAGTCCTCTTTGAAAGAATATTTCCAAGGTAATACAAAGTTTTGGCATAAAGTCTGTGTGGAAAAGTTCTGACTATAGAGCAACGTCCATTGATACAGATTTCCTTTAGTTCCATGCTGTAATAGTCTGTAAGTAAGTACGTTTCCTCATTATTGACAGGGTTTGCTACATATCCAGTGTAAATTCTTTTCACATTCTCTGTTGTTGACCTCTGTGCTTTTCAGAAAAGCACAGTTTCCAGATCCCGTAAGGTTGAACCTGCCAAACAATAAAGAAAGTTAGATTTATTTTCAGTTCATCGTTTTTTTGTTCATTTACATGATAATAAACTTTGTCTTAGTGGTGACCTCTGTATTTTTCCCCCCTTAGTAACAAGTCTGCCAGTCAAATAATCATAGACTAATCTGTAGAGACAATGGACAAGAATTGAAAGGAATAGTATATGGAGACAACATGAAGTTTGGAGAAAAGTGCTCCATTCATTTGGTTGGCATGTCACCAGAGGAGTGATTCTTGGCTGTTTTTAAGTTCATAGATCCTTAAACAAACAATTCTTTAGGATCATATACATTCAGCAGCCTTGCATACCAGTGCATACAGTTTTAGGGGGTTTATGGTTCCTGAACCCATTCTGTGGATATGGGACCATAGGACACATATTAAGAAACTCTGTTAATATAGCTAGAAATTTATTCAACTCCGAGTTTTCCCATGGAAAAGATAAATACCAAACTTCTAAAATGTTCTTCAAACTTTAAAATGTAGTTTAACCATGGGTAATGAAAATAGAATCAGTAACTTTAATTCTAGAGCAAGTTTTGTCTCAGATCCATAGAAACTCATAGAAGCATTGAAAATATTGCTCCTTATGTTTTTGGTGATGAAAATTGTGAAAGACTCAGAAGCAATTCTTTTCCAGCAGCTATCTCATTAGTAAAACATAAGTATGACATTGGAAATGTTGGGGGCTTTACATCATCATAATTATTCTTGGAATATTTCCAAATTGGGTCTATTACTCACACAGAGTTTACTGAGAAAAAATTACCATAAACACTTATTGTATGGATTCTAAGTGGACAAAGACAAATGCTAACAATAAACCCTATCTTTCTTTATGCTTTAATTCCAAAGCATAAAAGTATTCAAATGAGATTGTTAGAACTTTGCTCATACCTAACAGTGCTTTGAAAGGAGAAAAGGAAAATTGTTTTTGTTTTTTTGTTTTGTTTTGTTTTTAGACAGAGTCTCACTCTATTGCCCAGGCTAGAGTGTCGTGGCATCAGCCTAGCTCACAGCAAACTCAAATTCCTGGGCTCAAGCGATTCTTCTACCTCAGCCTCCCAAGTAGCTGGGACTACAGTCATGTGCCACCATGCCTGGCTAATTTTTTCTATATTAAAATATATACTAAAATGTTGGCCAATTAATCTCTTTCTATTTTCAGTAGAGACGGGGTCTTGCTCTTGCTCAGGCTGGGTTTGAACTCCTGACCTGAGCGTTCCACCTGCCTCAGTCTCCCAGGGTGCTAGGATTACAGGCGTGAGCCACCACACCTGGCCAGGAAAATTGTTTTCGTGGAGTGCCATCCTGGGGAGAATAAAGAGACTTCTAGAAACTTACCAGTTGTTAAATTGTTTGCCATCTGACCATTTCCATGTCTGATCAGCTTCATTTTTCAGTCCAATCCAGTGTTCGGTTCCACCCACATGTCGTTTTAGGAAGATCTTAAAGTAAGGACAAATGAGTTGTTATGTTAAACAACCTTTTAGGTAAGTATATAATAATTCCTGTTTCTTAAAAGCTTCAATATGAAGCATGACAACACATCTAATTATTTATTATTAAATTGTTGTAGTAGGACAAGCTCATTTGTATTTCTGGTCCTTGGAGCTGAGCAATCAAGTCAAATTTAGAATACTGAATTGAACTCTCATTTTGACCTGAAAGTGATAATATGGTTCTCTGTGACTAAACTTTCCTACAGGTGAGATGGGCACAATGTTTTCACTTAGACAGAAACAGAAGGAAACTACAGATTGGTTATACAAAATAAAATAACAATATTTCATGAAATTATTTTTGAATCTTACCATGTCCTTTTCAGAATCAATGACAGCAAGAGTAGCACCATGTTTGGAACAAGCATCTTGAGCCGAGGTCCAGCTCTTTGTTACAGTGGGGAAAAGGTAGCATTTCTTCTGGTAGCCAACCCAGTCATCTGGGCACGAAGAAACACGGAACTCATACTGGCTCGGACAGTTGTATTGGCCCACTGTGGACAGGAAAATAGTTTATATTATTATAGTAACAAGAGAAACCAAATAACTATAGCATGCGAAACTAGTGCAGAGATGCTGTGCTGTGCTAGGTGATGATAAAGGATGAGAGTCAAAAAGGAGAATTCTGAAAAGAGTAAGAAGAATGCCAGTTCTCCCCTTATCTGATATTTCATTGTGCTTAATCATCATTACATAGGGTATGAAGATAAGAAGATATCCGTTTGACCACAATGTGAGAAAGTGATAGAAAAATCCTGAAAATAGTCTTTTGGACTAGAAATGATAAAGTGCATTAAAAATGTCAAGTAAGGTTTTAAATCTGAATGTAGACATAGAGTAATTTAAAGATGCAGTAGATATAACACTAGATTGGAAGATGAAGGAGAGTAATATCAGGGAACTAACTCAAAATAAGGAAAGATTTATGGGTGAGAATGTTTTATAAAATGGTAAAAGTTCATATTTGTAAAAGACACAATGTATCTTAGTATAGCTATATGGATTGACTATCATATCATTACTGACTGGGAGCTTCTAGACAGAGTCTTAATTATTCAGAACTACCATTCTGTGGCCTTTGAGATAAAAAATAAAAGACTGTCCACTTCCTGATTAATCTACAGCTTTAGATATTATTTTCTCTACCAGTAATGAGTGTGAAGTCCACATTTTTTTCTAACTAAATATCTATTAATTTAGAACACAAATCAGCCCCCTTCATTCTAGATGCAAACATCTTTTCAAGTGTGATTTTAATCTATAGTAATGTATAAATCATAGACACCTTTAATACTTATAAAATACTTATAAAAGTATGGCATTAATCATCTAAGGAATGTAGAATTATATTTAGTATTGATGAGGAAATTGGCCATGTCTGGTATATGGGATGATCCTAAATTAATCATAATTTAAGACTAACTAGACTAAGGAAATATTAATTTTTGCTGGGTATGAATACTTATATCAAGGAGGCTTTGAAAGAATTTGTGAAGTACAGACTCACCTGATAAGGCAATGAGAGTTATGATTAAAATGGTGATGAAAACCACATTCATGACAGCACATGGGACAGGTACCTGGAGGGACCCTTCATGATGTGTTTCAAAGTGGACACTGGTGGCATTATCTGTAAGGAAGAAAGTTGATGATGAATTCAGGTAAACTACAGAAGTACAATAGGGACATTTTTAAATAAATACATATTATATTCTTTGGAGGCATTTAAATTTTAAAAAGTAATGCATTTCCCCATTTCCTTACATGAAATTTCTAACTTAATTTTCCAGAAATTTTGAGTGAATTTGGACAGTTTCTTGTTGGATAGAAATGAAACAATTCAAGCATAATGCTAAGAACACAAAATATCTCCCCAACATATGTACTTAGTACTATACACACACATACACACACACACACATACACACACTTAGAAGCTGTGAAATTCTAAGTATGTACTTTTATTGCTTTAATCACAATCAGAACATTTACTAAATACCCTACTGCCCTAGAAGACACATAAAAAGAACAGCCTAGGCACAATCCCTTAACCTCCTTGTAGGAGAAATGATGTGAATGGGATAAATATGGATAATATAATAAAGTGAAATATTGAATTAAAATATAAATATCTAAAACTAAAATGGTTAAAAATTAAAAATAAAAACACCTAACAGTACTTTTTGGTGAAGCTGGTGCCATGTGGAGCAATTGAAATTTTCATATATTGCAGGTAGGAAAGTAAACTGGAAAAACACCTTGGAAACTATTTCTTATGAAATTAAATATATACCTACTCTATGATTTAGAAATTTTACTCCAATGCATATCCCAATGAGAAATGAAAATATGTTCATAAAATGCCTTGTACAAGAATGTTCGTAGTATCTTTATACTTAAGAGCCAAATCCTAGAAATAACTGAAATATTCATCATGAAAGAATGAAAAAACAATTTATGGTATCTACATACAAGGGGATTCTACTTAGCAATTTTTTAAAAAGCAGCTTACATACAAAAAAAAAGAATGAATCTCAAATAAAAGAGTTATGTTGAGTGAAAAAAAATCCAGCCACAAAAGATTATATAATATATATTTCCATTTTTAAGACATTTAGGAATAGTTGAACTGAGCTCTGGTGACAGAAATCAGAACAGTGGCTGCCTTTGTGTGTGTGGAAAAGGTAATTTAATTGGAATGGAACCAGGACAACTCCCTGGAGTGATGGAAATACCCAAATGCTGATTGGCCTTGTGGTCATACAATTGTCATAACTCATTAAACTGTACATTAAGCAACTCATTAAATAATGATCTATGCCTTAAACTGTACATTAAACAACTCATTAAGTAATGATCTATGCATTTTTTGTATGTAAATTATACCTCAATTAAAAATCATACGTGAATGAACAGTCAAATATTTGAATTTTCCAAGAGAAGTTAAAATAACAGAGGAAGCATAACAATATTATCAACCAAATATCAGGTAGAAGCTGATTTTTTCATTTACTATTCCGTATAATGGTGAAACAAAGTAGGAAGAATTTTTTGACACATAAGAAATATTTATGTGGGAGAATTTAGAATAGAAATATGATGTTAATGATGATTCTTAGTTACCAAAACAAAAACAAAAGACCTAGAAGGACATCTGTGATAGAATGTAAGTAAATACATTGAAAACAAGAGAAGGGAATTTTCTGACTCTGATAAGCTATGAGGATTCTTAAAATATGACCGCAGGAGGAGCATACAGGTCCTTATTTATGTTTTCAAACACTGAGTAAAATGGCTACTCCAATGATAACTGACAATGAAAAAAGTCTCAAAATGCAAAACAGTCCTGTCCTATGGATGATTTTCATAACTAAAGGATGCCTACATATGACATATCTTGAAATTCATGTATTTTTTTTCCCTTAAAACATTTCTCTAAAGTTAAACTGGATGGAGATGGGTGGTCTTTTTCATAGTAATTTATCTTGCACTGGCTGTCAACATAAACTTTTGCTTCGTCTGGGGGTTCTTTTTCCCAGTGTAGATTTGCATTCATATTTTGCAAAAGAAGCCTTTACTTCACTTTTATCTAGCTCTATTTCTCTCAGCTTCTCAAAGCAAATATTCTTTTTTTCACCCGTATACAGTTATCTCCAGAAGCTGCCTTCGGTAGATAGGGTAGCAAGTTCAGAGCTCGGGGTAGTTTCGCTTCTCACCATGAGAGAATCAATCATGCTACTTAGACTCAAGCCAACAGTAGCTCTGGCTCCTGGCAAGTTCTGACATGTCCAGATAACTCGTGGACTCCAGAGCCTCGCTCAGCCCATTGCTCACCCAGTGCTAAGCTGTGAAAATGACTCTCAGATGTTACTTTGTTCCCATTTGAGAAGGTTATTGTTACCCTCAGTTTGATTTATCACCTAGGCAACAAAACATTTCCCCCAACAGAGCACTTTTCACCCTAATTACAGGCCCTGTCCATTAATGAAGAAGTTGAAAATAAATCCACCTATTTACTACCTGTTGAATCAACTAAGGGTGATGTCCATGCTTGTTCATACTAATAAAGCAACTATGAAGGCAGCATAAATTAGACCTTCAACAGAAAATTGGAGTGATCTCAGGAAAAGTTAAGCATTTCTGCATTAGGTTCTTCTTCTTTCAACTATGCTTTCTATTTATTGAGTAGTTTTATTATAATAATTTTTTTTGGCAGCTCAACTAAGCCATGAAGTTATAGCCTATCTGGTTAGCTAAAAATTTACATGCTTTGCGTTTGTTAGCCACACTTAATTTTATTTTATTAAATAGAGGATGTGTTTGTCAGAGATAATTGATGCCTCTCTAAAGTAAACCATTCTAGTAGACATACACTTAGAAACTTAGAAAAAAAAATCTCTTCCTCAGAGATTGTTTTTGCTCTGCTGTTTCTAACACACCCCTTTTTTACTGGCTGGCTCTTGCTTATAGATAAATTCCTAACTGGTAGTGCTTTAAAGCACCTCATTAATTAAAAATGAAGAAGGATAAATGAAAAAAATCAAGAAAACCTTATGGAAACAAGGTGTAGAAAAACAATGGGAAAAATTCTGGCAATAGGAAATTAGAATAGATATGTTGATAGAATAAACAAATAGAAGAGAGGAAAATGTGTAAGATGATCATCTTTTGGTGGAAAACAAAGAAAAGAAAAAAAAATTTTTGGCTCATGTAGAATTTGAAACCAGTTATTGGAAAGGTAAAATAGCAAGATGAATTGGAGGCAAAGAGTCCTACAAAGAATCCTAAAGCAGAAGATTGTATGTTTGAGGATTATTTTGTGACATTCTCCTAATAAATTACCATTGAGCACTGCACTGTGAATGTTCAGATGTTTATGTAGCTATTCTCCCAAAGATTGGAAACCTGCATGTTTCTAGCAACTGAAGGATGCTGTGGTGAAAACACAGGATGAGGCACTCAGAAAGCAGACAAAGATACAAGGGAAGGCGACCACAAATGTAACTGCTTATATGGAAAACAGAATTTTCCATAAAGAGAAGCAACACTTTCTAGAATATGTGCAAGTAGATGTGGAAAAATGATAGAGAACAACTGGGCTATGGCAGAAAGGTTCCTAATGAAATCGAAAAATTCATATGATGTAAACTGAAACAAAGAAAAAGGTCCTTAAAGATTTGGAATTACCTTTGTAGCCTCCTCTCATCTCAGTTATCCCATCTTTTGGTAAAGAAGTATTTACTTACCTCTTCCCCGAAATACAACCTAACCAAGTTCCCTAAAAGACAAAGCCTCATTTTCTTCCCTAACTACCACTATGTATCACATATAGAGAGATTAGCAGTATATCTTCTCTAACTACCATGATATATCGTATAGAAAGATATTACCAGTGTATAAGAAATCAGATCCGACTTACTTTCTTTTCCTCTCTCCAGATGCAAAGAGCTGTTTTCTGTTGTGAAATCATTTTCAGAATTCATCATTATCAAGATTCCCTGGTTAATCTCAAGTCAAGCCACTCCACGGCGAAAGTCTTTGCTGGAGCTCTTTCGGTCTCTGGCTCTCTGAGGCACCCCAGCATTTATATTCCGTTAGGGTGTCTCCACCCCCTTCCTTTTACCTCTTACTCGCTCAGCTGTGCCAGTTCTCTTTCATCTGTGCTCCACTGGCCCAGACGACACACAGTGTGTTGTGGTGAGGTGTGGGTTTTCCCTGTGTCTGAAATATCCTTTCTCACAGCTGTAGGTGTAGTATTAACAGGCAACTGGGATTTCCCCAGAATCATCCGTCCTTACATTTTTAAACAACACAAATAATTTAGGAGACAGCACAATCTAAGTAAAGGGAATTAAAAGTCAGGGATTCCTATCTTTGAGACGGAAATAATTTGGAGAAGAGTGCAACTTTTTGGGGGGAGGAGGGGAGTCCCATTCACTCATTTATTCATAAATTTAACAACTAATATTTATTAGCCACTTGCTATGTACCTGACACTGCAGCCAGAAGATTTATTGTTGAATAAGAATTTTAAGACCTCTGTTCCCATGGGTCTCTTTCCAGCCTGGAAGAGTTTTGCTTATGAAGCTATGAATTGACGGTTACAAGTATGTCATTCACTTCTTCCCTGGGGACTGGTCCTTTTAAGGTGCCATCTAGTAAGTCATTGCAGGAAATAGAAAGCTTGTGGTCTGGAACTTCCCTGCTCTGTTCTAAAATTGTTTATCTTGAATTATCTGTTTCATTTATCTCCTGCTAATTTTCTTTTCTTATTTTACTGTCATTTAGATTGCCATTATTTCACCTCGGTAATGTCTTCTATTTTTCCCTTATCAGTTTCCAAACCTTTTGCCATCAGGGACCAGTTTCATGGAAGACAGTTTTTTCATGGATTGGCAAGGAGGTAGGGGAGGGGAAGGCAGGAGAGGGAGCGTGGGGGTGGGAGGGAGGAGCTTAGTTGGTGATGTGTAGCCGGTTCCCAGCAGGCCACCAGCTGGCAACCAGGCACGGCCAGGGATTGGAGACTGATATTAAGGCTTCAGACATTTGGAGTTTGATTACTATAAAAAATATATTGCCATGTTGTCAACCTCATCCAGATAAGTTATTATGGTCAACACAAAATGAATACACAATGTTTATGTATGGTGATTTAAAGGGGGGAATCAAAATACCACTGTGGTTAATAATTTTGATGCCATACATTTTATCATTAATACCAGTTCTTTAGAGGAAAGTCATTTTGTTTTCAGAATAAAGTCTTGGCAAAAATGGTATGCTTAGGGTGGTTGGAAATTGCCATCCATAGCAGTTATTAATATTTGGGTCATGAGATGCCTTTGTCTACCTAAGACACAGAGAGGTACATGTTGCTCCTCAAGGTTCTCTTTGCTTCCACTGTATTTTTCAGTCAATTTCTTAGCACCTTTTCCACATAGCAGCTTGTTTCATAATAAAGTCACATTTTGGTGAGATGTTCAACTTCTACTCCCTCAGCCCCCAAACGCTTCCTATCAAAAGTACCATAAAACCCAAAGACCTTCTTAGAGTAGGGAAGACTTTATACATAATACGGCCCCTGGCTACTGCTCCTACCACTATTCCTATTAGTCACCACCCTCTCTGACAGTAACCTCCTTGCTGTTTCACAAAAATGCCATGCACAATGCCACCACAGGGCCTTTAAATTTTCTCCAAAAGATTCTTCTTCCGTCTACCTGCATATCCAGCTCTCCATTTAATTTAATTCATCCACTGTTCAACTGCCACTGGCTCAGAGAGATCTTTCCTTGCCATTATATATAAAATAGAACTTCACACTCTATGCCTCTACATACCTTTATCTTTCATTATATCACTGTCAGTATCTGATATTATGTCATTGTTTATATCTACTTCCCTTACTACACTGTAAGCTGCTTGGGCCAAGGACTTTGTCTGACTGTTCTTTCTGTGTCTCTGACACCTCCCATAGTAACTAGAACCTAGTATGTGCTCAATGCACACTCATTGAATGAGTGAACAATTAATGAAAAATAAGTGTAAAATGTAAAGTTCTAAAATATAGGATGACATTTATGGAGGTTTGCAGGATTGTATGGTTGAGAAATATAACTACAGACTGCCACTGGATAGCAAGTGTACACTTGAACACTGCTGATGAATGACAAAAGAGCAGTTAGAGTTGATACTTAGAGAAACAGCAGAAGCTATTGCTAATGCTTTTGCTATCTTCTTTGCTTTAAAGCAACTTACATAATTTAAATGCTTATTTACTCTCCTAGAATTGGGAGGTCTGATTTAACATCCACATTCTGCCAGTAATTATACACGACTGTGGTGAAGAATGCATGAGATAATATCACTGTTATAAATCTGTAATATTATTTGAACTGTTCCAAGTGTGTGGGGCCTAAAGAAACAGAATGAAAATATCCTTACAGACACTGATAACTTTTGCCATGTGTCTTTTCCACAGGCAAAGGACTTTGCTCCAGCAGACTGGACTCACGTGGACATCATGGTCCAGTTTTACCATTTACTAATGTACTTTCTCCCCTCTAGTGATTCCCATGCGAGTGTGAAAATCTAATTTCTATAGCTGGATACTAGCTATCCTTGAAGTTTGCATATTCCAGAACATTCCAGGCAAGTTAACATTATGAAAAAAGTGCAGGTTTTACACACAGATAATCACCTTCCATCTTTTGCTTCATGCTGTCTACAGGCCAACTAACTACATTGACCTTTATTCTGTTCCTTAAAGAAGATAAACTCCTTTTCTTTTATAGGGTGTGTTCTTGTTTCCTGTTCTTTCTGCTCTCAGATTTTTCTAACTCTTTCTTCTCATTTCTATTTAGCCTTACATAGCATGTCCTCCAAAGGCCTTCCCTGGCCAGCTATGTAAACAGCCCCCATCGTTATCTCACTCTCTTTTAGTTTGTAGACCATATTGGTATCTGAAATTTTGAAGTTTGTCTATTTTTATAAGCTTTTAAAATCATTATTATTATTGTCTCTCTCCTGCTACTAAAAAGTAAGGTCTTTTAAGACCGGGGACTATGCTGCATGTTTAACAATGACTCTCTAGTACCCATCAGAGCCCAGAACATAGGAGTTCAACAAGTATTTGTTGGGTGATACACGAAGGAACGTGCATGTGAATATGGATGCAAGCATTTGTCACCTGTGTGACTTTGGAATGGAGTCACACAAATCGATGGAGCTTTGGCGTTGTTATCTGTAAACTGAAAATATTTACATCTAATTTATAAAGAAAAAATTACAAATTAGAAAATTATTTTTTAACATAGTGTTTGGTGTATTTTAGGCACTCAAGGATGCGTAAGGAAGTGAGAGTTTGATTCAAGTTATGGAAAGAGAAATTTCCTCTTGTAAGGCACTCAAAGATAATGACTGAGAAGTCAGAGTATAATTGCTGACGCAATGTAATGTGTCTCTGAGAAGCAGACAGAGGAAGCTGCAATCTCCTCCAACCGCCTCTCACAGGTTTCACAGGGCTGGGACTCTTGCTTATGTACTCAAGAGTTTTTGCTTCTTCAACCATAATCAGGTAAACAGATATTATATATACATTTATAAATGTGTGTGTATATATGCACATGTATGGCCAGTGGGCACAGAAAAATGATATCTAGACATCTTATTTTAAGAAAATAAATAGCTTTAAATATTATGACATTGATCAAAATCTGTTACCTTTATTCTGAAGTCATTTTTTCTGTTTCTCTTTATGGGGCAGCCAAGATACTTTGTTGAAATCAGCTCTTGGGTCAGTGGGAGAAGGCGGTCACCACAAACAGAAAAGCAGCCAAATTACCAAGAACGTAGTTATTGGTGAGCCTCGTAGATATCCACTGGGGCCCATGCTCTTCAGAGTTCTCCATGAGAGACTGAACTTTGTTGCAATATTAATTTTTTCTTCATTAATCTTTCCTCCTCTTCCACAACTCTATCTTTTAAGTGTAAGAAATCTCCCTTAGATTTGAGAAAGGAATCAACTTAACTTCGTAATGAATAGGGGGTGCCTGGCACCGCCCTAGCTGACACCTGTTGTCCTGCTGTAATTCTTAAGAGCATGCCTTTGACTTGTGAGCATGTCCTCTTAGGTATAACAAATTTATGCTGACACTACTAATCAATATTTGTTAAGCCAAAGGCAGATATCTCTACATGTGAAATAGAACAGATCAAAGTATAATATAGATGGTCAAGATGCCATGTGAGTGAAATTTGGGGGTCAGAGAGTTTATCCACATATGTAAGCAAACTTCTTGTGTGGTCAGCCCTGATGGGTTTAACTCTCTAAAGCCAAGAAATACATAAAGAAACATAAACAAAACTTGTGCAAATAAACTCTTTTCAACCCCCTTATAAAACACACATAACAATAATATTGTATATAACTTTCCACTTTTTCAGAGATATTTTATGTCTTATTTCGTAAATAATATATTAGAAATTAAGCAATAGCCATAGGGCAGAGATTTTTCATTAATATTTCATTGTTCAATTGAGAAAACTAAGGCTTGGAGAAATCAGTGCCTGGACAAGGTTGGAAGAAGTCATCCAGGGCACCAAAATTCAACGCAGCTCTCCTTCCTGTGTGACCTTATATGAAGAATCCGGGCGAAGGGCTCGGAAAGGAAATGAAGATGAGGTAATGCGAGCTAGATGCAAAGCGGTACAGAGAAGACCGGATGTGCCGCCCAAATCAGACAGCAGCTGCGGCAGGATGCTTCGGTGGCACATGTTCACAGGGACCACAAGCTTCCGACCTAAGACGATTTCCTGAGACAACCTGCTCTTCATTTTTTAATTTTTTTTTTCTTTCAATGAGTTAGATAGGTTTCTGAGTGGCTTTTAATCTTCTTGTAACTCAAGACTTCAATTTAGGATGCTTCCTCCTCTGCTAAATTAATACAAGTCATGAAAGTTGAAAAAATTATATTTAAATCACAGGTGCATGTGTTTTCAAATTGGTTAATCATAAAGAGTCAATAAAGATAACCGTGAGTGGGGGATT